GAGCCCATTTTACATGAAATCTGTCTTCATAAAGAGGCTCATTTTTCCATTGAATAATGTTTTCATGAAACATTTTGGCTCTCTGAAAATTATTTTGAAATTATAAGTTTGAAACAATGAAAATTTTAGTTTTTTAAATGTTTTTTGAAATTTTAGTTTTTTGAAATACTCGCTGTAGTATTTCGTTTGTACTTCTATTTTCTTAGTTTTGCCGGATGTACCTTTTGAAATTTTGGTTTTTGGTGAAGTTTGAAATTTTGTTGCCAGCGGCTAATAAAAAGAAAATGAGTGCTTGAAAATCACAGAGGTGTAAATATACCATTTGTTTTTGTTTGGATGAGACCAGACGTGTGTTTCAGCGGCTATTTCAAATTTCTAGAAGGATTCGTCGCACAAACACTACATCAATCATTACTATAATTTTGATCGAGGAAGTTACAATTCAAATGGGTTTTTCACAAGCAACGAGCAGAAAAACTATTTTGAAAAGTTTTGACATGTACCATTTAATGGTCATAATAACATAAACGACTGATAACAAAATTTTTTAATAGAAGTTTGACTGAAAACAAGTTTTGCTGTTTAACTGCGCTGCCATTTTCAGCAACTTTAATTATTTCCTTAACTAGCTTCTCATTTTCTTCAAAGGGTTTTTAATTTATGAACTGGAACTGCAGTCTAGCTGATAAGAAACCGCATATTAGGTAGCAATTTGCAATTAAACGTTAAATTCGATTATTGAAACTTGTACTCAAGTTTTTAACAATTATTTAATTTAAAAAATCATAAACAAATTTCATCGGCTCAGAAAACAATGCAAATTCAAGTAAAGCAGGGTACTTGGTTTTATTATTACATTAATAGAATCAAATAAATCACTTCACATGTATTAAATAAGTGGCGATAAGAATTTTGAAGAAAAAAAAACCGAATGAAAGTTTCAGTTTTTTTTTTACTATTTTTTATTGGATGTTTTAAAAAAAATAATGCGAAAATTTATTTTCAAACATTGTCAAAAAGACCTGTAAGGGCAGCCAAATGCTTCAAGTTTTCGCCCTTATTCGAACAATTGCGGAAACATAACAAATTTGATGGAATCCTTTATTTTATTTTGCCAATGAGATTAATAAGTCAGCCTCACTTTAAAAGTCCTTAATCATTGTCAAATTACGCACTAAGATTTTAACTGTCTTTTTTTCCTGTAGTAGTGTCTAATCGATACACCGTCTGTACCGCGTCCAGACAATTCATCCTAAAACAGTTTACTCGATACAAAATTCAGAATTTTCGGCCAAAAAACCAAACAATTCAGCAGAAAATTACAGATTATTCAGTCACAGACAATTCAGCTGAAACTGAGTTCAACGGCTAAATAACAAAGAACTTCACAGAAAATTAATAATCGCATTTCTTAATGGTGATCACTGCAGTCGCGCCATATCGAAACAAGACCCGTTGCTGTCCATATAGAATGTTTCACAAAATAAGTGTAGGTTTTTTGGGCGTGGTATGATGAAAGTATCTAAATATGAGCAAAAAACTCATTAAAATTTTAGAAAATATCATTCTAATGTTTCTAAATCTTTTTTAGAGGAACTTTTCATCTTTTTGAAGTTTTTTATTCTCAAGATGGCGCTAAAAATAACTTGAAATATAGCTTTTGAGTAAAACTTAAGGTTTGCGGCTTTTCCTACTATGATAGTTTCCTACTATCTCAGAATTGTTCTACCAGTTTTCTCGTCACTGCGAAAACTTTCTGAAAATTTTTTGTTTTGGTTCAAACTACAGGCTTCAACATGATATATCAATCGACCATTCTGATGATTAATTGTGGTATTGTGGTACTTGATTTTGCATGGAAAACGAAAAAAAACGCACACGAACACCGACTTGTCTATCATTTTTAATGGTCGGAACAAATAAAAAGCCGAAATTTCTAGTTGGGGGATTAACAGCATTTCTTGACAAAAATCATACTAAAAATATTATTCCTTGGTAATTTAACTACTCATCTGCTATTATTTTGAGCAAAGGCTTGTTTGGAGAATTTCATGAGCAATTAATGGAATTTTAGTTTGTTTAAAATGGCTCACTTGGTCATTTTTTTTTTACAAAGATAGAGGTGTTTTTGTTGTTTCTTGCTTCAACTGCAAAGTTTGAGAAACTTCTTTTTTCCGCAAAACTTTGCACCACAAATATCTCAGCATACAAAATTGTTTCAAACTGAATTGAGGCAATCTACTTGGTCGTATAAACTCCATTTACAAATCAAAATAAAACAAATTAAATCAAGTGCCTTTTACTGATATATGAGAAGTCTTGCATTTCGTATCATTCAAATAGCACTGTTGTATCTGTACTTTATCTTTATCTTCTATAATAAATCAATCTGATTGATGAAGACTACAAAGAAAAATGAAGGCCGGACATCAAGCCGACGGGACTTCAATCCAATTTGTAAAGTTAGGGACATCAAGCCAATTTTGGGTCTTTTTATTTATTGTTCAAACATCAATATTTTAACTTCTTGAAATTCAGTACCATTTCAAAATGTTTTGTTCACAATTTTCAGCCGAATTAGCAAAAAATAACAATAATTTGGAAAACTAATCTATTTTGTTTCAAATAACCTGCACAGTTTTAACTGAAAAATAACCATCAGATAAAAAATTACATTGATCGCGTTTGTAATAACCAAACATAACCTATATAATCAATTTTTATGACCCATCCAACAATAAAAAAGGATTTTGAGGGAATTTCAATCGATTATTTTCAAAATTCAAAAATCCTTTATATTCAATCCATTAAAAAAGATTATACTGTATTTTTTAAATTCTTTAAATTTTTTGAATTCAATAAATCCAAATAAATGATTTTTTTTTTGCAAAAATGAAATTTTACTTTGTTTTTTGCAGCGATCTACAAAACTAAAACCCTAATGATTTTTTTCATCCACATATAACTCCCTTCCGCCAACTTAGCATGCCAATTCCTTTTTCCACACCCCCACCACAGTCCATTCCACACACCCCCTATTCGACGCAACCTCTCCCCACACCCTAACACTACCCCCAACTACCAAACATCCTTCTAGACCCCAACCCCCCCCCCCTTCCACACACACACACACACCATCCAACACCCATCCCCCTACTCGCACCCCTTCCTCATCTCTTCACTCATGTTTCACGTTAAATTGAGGGAGGGGGTTAAACTGGGTGGGGGGGGGGGGGGGGGGGCGCGTTACTTTCATCATCAGCCCCCATGATGGGGTGGCTTATAAGGGGTTTAACAAGGGATGCAAATTAAGAAAGGAATGAGGGATGGAAGTTGGCAATAAATTAGAAAAACTAGAAAAAATAGAACACAAAATTTGTGAAAAAAATTGAAAACAAGAGAAGACTGCTCGTATCAGAGCAAAACCCTACACGTTCCGACTGCCTTTGAATTTTGATGGAGCATTAAGTACAAGAAAAAAGTAATTGCAATAAAATAGAGTGATTTTTTTAGTTGAGATTTTTTGTAAAAATCATCCCCCAACTGGCCATATAAAGTACAAATTGATAAATTTTGCTCCTAGTAACAAGTCAATTATTGCAAGTAGGCTTCCTTCAAACCCTTGCAACCATTTCTAAGAAGGATCAGTTGACACGTTAGAAGCGCGAATTATAGCGCGCTTTAGTTGTCGCAAATTGGCCAAAGTGGCAATACTTAAACCCCCATAACTTTACGAAAAATAATCACAGGTGAAATACCTGTTGATTGGTTTAGAAAAAATTTGTCAAAAATGGCTTAAAAATTCAAAGTTTGTCTGAAGAAAAAAAACCACCGCGAGTATAAATGCCTCTGTGGGCGATTGGCTTACCCATTTATTTGGTTCATATTTTAAATTCAGTTCCTCATTTGAAAAGTCAAATACCATTTTCACTTATAACCTTAGGCAACATCAAATATGACAGAAGATTATTTTTGAATGTCGACAAGCTATAGAAATTGGGACTATAAGGCGACTCAACTTATGGGCAAAACTGAAACTGAGCAAAGAAATACCACCCACAAATAGCCAGAAGCTACAGTTTTTGCGAGAAGACATGCAAAGCAGTTGTGTTGAATTGAAAAAAAAAATAAAAAGAAAGCTTTGCAAAAATTATCTGCAGTGAAGTTGCAGAAAACCAGAACAAAAATAGCAAATTTGAAATGAACATTTGGAAGTTCGCATAATTTTTACGTTTCTCATTAGCAGATTAAAATTTTTTTTTATTTGATTACTTTGTTATTGTAATATTTTACCACGTTTTATTTCAAGTTGAAATGGTGAGGAAAGGCAATTAGAAGTTGACTTAAAGTAAGTTTCTTTTATTGTATTATCAGAACGCTCCGTTAAACTTTCTGAACCGACAAACAAACATTTTGAATATACGATTTTTTTCTCCAATTTTGTATTATCCTCTGAATAAAAAAATTGGCTGTAAAATCCGTTGACGTTGTCTTGATTGGTTTGAGTGACAAGCCGTGACAGCGAGCACAAAAAATCGGTACGTTTGTTACGAAAGTCGGAACAAGAAAAGTTCCGAGCAAAACGTTGCAACTCTCTAATAAAACATGCGATAAGTCAACTGCCAATTTGTGAAAACATTGCCGTATTAAAACTTTCAGACTAACGTCGGAAATAAAATTAATTGATCCGTTATAATCGGTTTTAGTCGATTAAAATGGATATTGATTTGTAAAAAAAATATTATAATCCATTTTTAATTAACTATAGTCGATTAATTTCAGTTTATGTGGAGGATGTCAAAGAAATTATTATAGAATCGCTGTTATGCATCAAACTTGAGTGCGGGCAACGTTTTACAGATGAAAAAATAGTGCTTTGACGCTTATAAATTTACATCCCTTCGGTTTGAGGTTCTGTCGGCCTGTAGTCCTAGACCATATAAAATATTGTCTCAATGCACACCTTTATTAGCAAAACTCGACTTTATTCGTACCTGAAACTGAAACTGCAACTAAAACTAGACAGTTTCAGTTTAAATAAGTCAGACCATATAGTAAACATAAAATGAAAGCACACATTTTACAATAGATAAAATTCATTTCTCAGAAATCCATCTTAAATGCATTTGTTGCTTTAATTCAGTGGATTTCTACGCGTCTCTTGTTTTTAATAAAATAATGCTGCCGTGAGTTTGTTCCTTCATTTCTGCGTGTATTTCTTCAGGTTATTTTCTTTCTAGCAAATAAATTTTCAATTTCAATCAGGACAGAAATCTAGTCTGTGAGGCAAAAATGGCGCATTACACGGACTACTGGTACAGCAACAGCGATGATTCAGATAGTAGTCTTGAACCAGGTTTGTCTCAGTGATCCAAACTCATCGAGGACACATGTACAAAACCCCGCACTGCAGTTCCAAAGATAAAAATCGATTAAACTTGAGTTTTTTGTCAGTGTCTGTAATTGAGAAAAAAAACTGGTTTTATAATATAATTAAAAATGGATTATATTGCTTTTATTTGAAAAGCATTAAAATCGAATGCAAAACAATTATAATCGATTATTTTTCATTTTATTGAGATGCAAATTTCTTCAATTTCAACCCTTTGATTTTTGATTTTATTTTTTGTTACTCATTATCTCAATTTTCTTACTTATAACAATTTTCTTAAATTTTGTTAAAACTTTGGATTACTTTTGAAAAATAATAATCCATTATAATTGATTATAATCCATTTTTTCGGCACTTTTTGACAATTATGATGAAATATTTTGGCAAAATAATCAATTTCAGTGCCAAACTCTAACCCCCCCATCAGTTTACCACAATTGCCGTTCACCCCCCCCCCCCCTTATAGTTATAATTTGGGGAGGGGGTTTATGATTGACATTGGCGTTGAGACATGGCATTTAGTAAAATACATAAAAGCATTCATTTTGCATATTTCCTGCAAAAATTGCAAAATTTCTGCAAAAAACAAATCAAATTTAGTTCTAAAAATAAAATGTTTCATGATCGATTATGATGGATTGTTATGGTTTTTTGTTATAAAAATAAACAATTAATTGATTATTTTCATAATGAAAATCCATTATAATCCATCATAATCGATTATGAAACGTTTGATTTTTAGAACTAAAATTGATTTTTTTTTTAGCAGAGAGTTTGCAGGAAAAATGCAAAATGTATGCTTTTATGTCTTTTACTAAATGCCATGTGTCAACGACAATGTCAATCATAAACCCCCTCCCCAGAATTCAACCATAAGGGGGGGGGGCGAACGGCACTCGTGGTAAACTGGTGGGGGGTTATAGTAAACTGGGGGGAAGGGGGTTTCTACCATTAAATATCCCCCCTAACACTGTTTAAACCATACCCTCCTTCCCCCTGCAGAATGAAGTGTTAAGATGAGATGTGATGAAAATACATACATTTTATTGTGAAATCTAACATTTTATGAAACGTAAAACCTAACAACTGCACTAAACAGAAATTGAGATAACTTTGAGAAAATTTGTAAATTTCATGAATAACTTCTCGAAAAAATCCATTATAACCGGTTATAATCGATTATAAAAGATTATATTGACATAAAACATAGAAGGATTAGAATTCATTTTTATGGATTATAATCGATTATTTTGTAATTTCATAGATACTGACCATATAATCGATTATGATCCTGGCTAAAATCTTTCAAAAATGGCGGATATGGGGTGGGGTGGGGTGGTGATTCAGGTGGAGGGGGGTTGGCTCAGGTTACCGCACCGGAGTTGCATGGATAATAATCGATTATAATGGAAAATTGCTGTCTAAAATGTTGTCATTATAATCCATTTTTGTGGCAAATTTAGACCACAAAATTGATTATATTGTAATTATAATCGAATATTTTCGTAAAAACACGATCCATTAAAACCCATTATAATGATTTATAATCCAATTAAAAACCATTATAATTGATTATAACGGATTATAATCTATACATTTTTTTGCGAAATCATTTGCAAAACTTGCAACATTTTTGCGTTACTCATGGCCTACTCGCAGTCTGAATCTACTCGAATTAACACCCCCCACCTAACTTTGCCCCCCATCCGTCCGCATTTGCCCAAACCCCGAAATTTGATAAATGCAGAAATTCTATTCTTGCAAATAATTGCATGACGCAAAACAAAATTAAAATGGAAGAAAATCTATTTTAATTGATTTTAAATGGATTATAATTAATTTTCAAATTAATAAAACAATGGATTATAATAGATTTTTGTTCCGTTTTGTTGTTTGAGTGCAACATGGGAAACGATCGCATTGATTATTATATTTTAGACCACAACAATTCTTATTAATTGATTTCTTTTCACTTTTCTTAGATCTCAGAGAATATAAGTTTGAAAGACAATATTGACAAATTTATAGACAATATTGACAAATAATATAGACAACACGGTTGAACTCCATAGACCAAAAATGCTAATCATGCAAATCCAGAAACTAAGTCTATGAAAAAATGCTAGCCCTGCAAGTTTCATAACGTTTGCCAAAATGGTGTCATCGAAATTTCGAAGAGTCTTTTCTCCTTTTGGCATAAAATTCGGTATATCTTACTTTATAAAAACTTACAACTTTTGGTCACAAAAACGCAAACCACACAATTTCCATTTACGAAACATTTATGATGGCATTTTTTTTGATGGCGACAAAAAAAATTTGGAAATTGCCCCGAAAATTTTTCTAAAGTTTTTTTCAACCTTAAATCGAATTTTGTACTAAAAAAAAAACATTTTCAAAAAAAAATTGCATGCAAAGTTTAATTTTTTATGTGCATAACGTAGTCCTGGATACACTAATTTTGGATTTTTTCCTTTTCGCTTAATACTTTTTTCAAAAACGCTAAAATCTCCTCTTTCTTTTGAGTGGCTTGTTTATGTATGCCTTGATCATTGACTGATAAATTCAAAGTCAGTTTACCAAAATTTAAAAGTTTGATACTTTCGTTAAATTATTTGAGAAAGACAGAATTATGAATTTTCAGGCCTTTTCCAATGCGTTTAAATGACAGAAGGTCAAATCTTTGGTTACATTACGTTTGAGTAACCACGTTTTTTGTCACTTGTGTTCGGTTATGAACACAACCGAAAAAATTTAAGAAATTGAAAAGAAAAAATTTTTTTTTTTGGTACATGGAAAAATGCTGGGCAGACAGTTTCCGTATAGGAAAATTGTAGACCTTTCATGCAATTCTCTCTACTTATAGAATTGCATGAAAAGTATATGATAAGCGTTTTTGTTCAACCCGGGTAAAGTCTTGGATGTTTTTTCTTGCTTACATGCACTCTAAATAACGTACAAGTAAAAGTTCATAACTTAAATACATAAGGGTGCGCAATAATTTGTCAAGTTTTGTGGTTAGTCAATCAAAATTGACTGCCGTAAAATAGTACTCCAGGGGGGACCCTTTGCAAATGTTTGGCAACTGCAATTGAGGAGGAAATGGTCGTTATAGAGCCCGTTTTTAAATCTTGTTTTTCAAACTGATCGTAGTCTAATGTTTGAGTTTTTATAAACGCCTCTATTGGCGATTGGCGTACCCATCTGTTTGGTTCAAATTTTAAATTTAGTTTCTTATTTGAAAGTCAAAGCCCTTATTCAGTTTTTAACCTTAGACATTTACCAACCCAATTGTTTAGATTGCAAAATGCTAGCATGTCTAATTTGGATTACTATTTGAGCAGTTAATTTACTTTACACATATACGTAGAAGCATATGTTTTGATTGCAAAAGAAACTATCTCTAGGCAATGCAAAATGGAATGTTGTGATTGCAAACCTATCTTTGGGCAACGAAAAGTGACAGCGAAACTTTGCAAAACAACAGACCTGTTAGAGAATACCACCAACAGGAAAAACAAAAGAGAGACTTGCAAAAAGTAGCTGCAGAGAAGTTGCAGAAAATTCAAAACAAACTAAAAAAAAATAGCAGATTTGAAATGAACATTTAGTAGTTCGCATAATTTTGACATTTCTCATTTGAAGATTCAAATTTTTATTATTTAATTACTTTTTAATTGTAATATTTATCACGTTTTAATTCAAGTTGGTAGGCAAGGATAGGCAATTATAAGTTGATTTCAAGTAAGTTTCTTTTATTGTTTTATCAGAACGCTCCGTTAAATTTTCTGAACCGACAAATTTCTTGAAAATATGATTTTTTCCTCTGTTTTTGTTTTATCCCCTGAATAAAAATTTGGCTGTAAAGTCGGTTGACGCCGAGACAATTTTGAGTGACAAGCCGTAATAGTTTTCATTTATCATGTATATTTAGATGACATGGCTCAAATGGAACTTCGATCATCTGGTTGTCATCAAATTATTGACCCGGTATGTTAATTAACTTAAGCACAGAGTCGCAGCGGAGCTCGCGCTTTTTGCGAGAACATAAAAAATTAGCATTGCAAGCTTGCCGACATAAGTAATTGCGATATAAATTATAACGAAAAACAATGTCGAAAAAAAACGAAAAAAAATGAACGCAGAAAATCCAATTGTTTGTCTCAAAAATGTTAATTTTGAGAATTAAAAAATCTACACAATTGCTAGCCTTTAAATAGCCTTAAAAACAAATAGAGACTGGCAGCTAGGCCGACAAAAACGGGTAAACGCCGTTGAGCCAAAAAATATTTGTTGTCAAGAAATTTGAGCTACAAGGTTTAAAACTTTGGTTTTCTAATACTTACTCTAATAACTTACTCCTTTCGAACAAAATGAGAACATAAAAAATTTTTTCTTTTCAAACAACAAACACTTAGGTCACCAAGGCGAAAAAAAATAAGCCGAAACACTTCAGGCCGATTACAGAGAGTAGATCCACAGTTTACAAGAATAAACAAAAAAAATTTAGTTACAATTACATTGCACGGCGCAGGAAAATCCTTTATATGGCAACTAAGCCAAAAAATTTGACAGACATACAATAGGTCGACAATAAACCGACCGTTTTTTTAGGTTTTTAGTTTAAAAAAATAGCAGCCCTGGCCGGGTTCAAACCTAGGATCTTGCTGTCGCATACGTGGTCTCTATGTCTTGCCTTAGTATGCAGGAGACCCTTATGAACTTGAATACATTGTAAATCAAGCTAGCACATGATACATAACGTTCTTGTGATTATTATTACTTTTGTTTTTGTAAGATTTTGGTTTTTTGAAAGTATCTCTCGAAAAATGTCCCCTGTGCTGAAGGCGCGAAAGAAATTTTTTCAAAAACTTCAAAAAAATTCAGGCCAGAAATCTTTTGTTCACCAATTTTGTTCATCGGAATTTATGTGTTTTCAGTTATCTCTGACAAAATAACCTTTCAAAACACTCTGGCATAGTAGACTCTTCTTAGTAAAGGGCAGTTTTGTTTAATAAAAAAAACAGTAATTTATTTTCAAAGTTAAAGTTTAATCTCAGTTTTTTTAGGACTTTTATTACCACTATACGACACATCACGGAAAAATCCACATCAAATACTCAAAGCAACTTCTGCCTTCAACTCCGAACCAGTTTGCCGGAAATCTTGGCAACGGGGTCTACGTCAGCGACTGCCACCCTTCGACAAAAACAAGTACTCTCCGATACCAGTTGTTCAAAAAAGGAAAAAAATCTGACTTCAAAATGGTTTGCTATGTCAAACTGCGCAAATCGGACGTCAAGAGATTGTACCCGGATGTAAAGCAATACGCAGATGGACGCCGGTCGTTTAGAATTAATACTCATCAACAGCCGATGTCGCTTAATGGGATCGAACACAGTTTTGGCGATCGTTGATCGATCACCTAGTGGCTAGAAGTATGACAAAAAATGAAATAACTTAGAAAAAAAGCTATATTAAAGTTTTTGTTCTATTCAAATAACTCTTCATCTAGCAGAAATATTTTGTGTTACAAAAAAAAAAGATATTTAGAATAGTTATTTAAATTGCTACCAATATCTGTTTTCATAAGAGAAACTGATTTTTATTTAACAGCATCAGTGGCATGCGCTGGTTTTTTTACGAGCGGTTGCTTTTTGAAAAAATGTAGAAAAGTTTACCAGCTTTTGTTTCGCTCTACAGACTTGGTTCTCCATGCTTCTACCCTTTTTCAACAATATTTTTGGGGCTGCAGGTGATTGTTTGGAAAAAAGGCAAAACTAGTTTAGTGTATAACAGCGTTGAACAAATCTTTGAAAAATAACATTGAAAAGTTTAACATTCCTACAACTTTGTTAAGATATCCTCTACAGTAGCGTGCTGATTCTGGACCACGCCATCCTATCCCATTTAATACTATTAGACGGCACCCATTTTTAGTTGAGCGTCCTCAAAACTTTTTATAAGTTATGTTCTAAGTCAATTTACTCTTACAGCGCAGGCCAACAAACACGACTTTTTGATCAAACTTTTCGAAAACAGCCCAAAACGTAGTTTTTAATCAAATTTTTCAAAAATGTACTTGCCGCACCTTATCTTTTTAGTGATAAGAGAAAACATTGAAAATTAAATTGATCGATCTTAAAACAATGGATCTGCGGAAGTTCAAAATGTAATTGAAAAAAAAAGCTTTTGATCCGTTTTCTTTTTTTATTGTTTAATTGGCTTCAAACGGCAGTTGGATCATTCAAGGCTTCCTCCTGATAGAATTAACTTTGTTTTCAACTAAAGTGCAGCTAACTTTGTTTTCAACTTAATAAAAACTCTGTATTAAATGTCTTTAAGCAGCCTAGCATAAGTTCAATCTTTCAAACAAACGTGTATCCAGGTTCTGTTCTGGACTCGAAACGAACTGGAAAGAACGGTTGATTACTATAGATAAATTCCTATCGTGCAGCTCTAGAGAAAAGTTGATTACTGTTAGCCGTTCGGTAAAAGAATAGTTCATATGTAGTAAGGTACAATCTTTTTCATAACAAGACAACTTGTTTCAAGGCGAATCCCTGAAAATTTCAACTGCCGTTTGAAGTCGATAGAAAAAAAAAGAGAAAATACAAACATTTTAACGTACTTTTTTGATACCCCAAATGCTATTAAAAATACAAAGTGATGTAATTTGAGTCTGATAACGCACTAAAACCCAAACTTTTGCTTGAGTTATATTTTGGAACCTGATCCAAACTGTATATTATTATTTGTTATAAATTAGATATTTTATCCCTTTAAAATACTGAAGACTAACAAATCATACTCCATCTAACTAACAACCCATTTATTTGTAAGTGCTGAAACTACTTGTAGATTCAGCACCAGAGCATTCTGAATTTAACTTACAGCTTAGTTGCCTTTTCCAGGAGACCAACTCGTAACAAACCAGTATCCTCTAGATCTATTGAGACTGAGAGATATAAGAGTAAGATTAAGATCGGTATTAGACTAAGAAGTTGCATGAATCTATCCGGCCAAAAATAAGATAGCGTGACGAGCAATCGGTGTACCTTATCTGAAATTACTATATGAGTTAGAGCTACATCCCAACTCATCTGGTGCGACCAAAAGTCTTGAATAAGACCTTAAGGAATAAAATAGCTTAAATCTAACCAAAAAAAGCAAGCAAAAAAAGATTAAACTTAGACAAACATTCACAAAAATGTTACACGATAATAATTTAATTGAAATGTCTCTACGACTCAATAGATCAAAGCCACTATTCCGAACAGTACGACAACTCCCCGATATTTGAAGAAGATCTCGGACAAGAGATGATATACGACTGCAACGGAACTTTCCCAAAAGTTCAATGGTCGTACGGAAAAAGCCAACACAAATTTTTTTTCTTTAAAGTTTTAATAGCAATGAATTTAGATTTTCATTTGCAGACATAGTATTGTTGAAGACAAATCTTCATCACTAATTACAGGCGCTAAATTTATTATTGTACACTAACGACTCATAAAAACATCACTAGTCGTTTCATTTAATCTGCAGTAAATTTGAAAAAGATATCTACAGAAAAGATTTATTAAAATTTAAAAAAAAATTAGTTAAAATACACAAATTGTTAGTAATATACAAATCATTTCTTCAATTCAGCTTCATCACCTAAACATAACAAGCAAATCATAAAATCACTAACATCAACAAAAACTAAACCTATCAATTAAACTTTAAATTATTCTAAAAAGGCCTATTCTAATTTTTACTTTTACCTAAATTAAACCTTTTGAACTAAACATATCATCAAGGCTTTCCTTGGATCTTCATTTCAATTTTATCCCAACTAAATTTTATATCCTTAATTTAAATCTTGATCATCAAGGCTTATCCTTGGATCAAATAGAACAATTTTGATCCCCCCCACACAGTTAGCATAGTGTCCAACGACCTCAAACGTCGATTCACTACCCAACCCTTTCTACGACCCAGGACTAACAGAAGTTTTTCAATCACACTAACCATTCTAATTAGAATAAACAGTGAAGAACTTAGGTTATTCATCCTTCACTTGACCACCCCCCCCCCCCCTCTTACCTCACCCAGGATAACACTTAAACTTAGTAAGTTTAAAATAGTACCTAACGCACTACTTGTGTTCTATTTATACGTGAACCTTGTGCATCGATTTACTACTCTCCAATCCTTGAACTGAACACAATCATTACCCCTAAGTAAGATTAGGTAAGTTAACACCTTAACTTAGACTAGCCACGAGAAAGTAACAATCATTCTTCGGAATCGATATATGCTTTTCTCTCCAACCCTAAACAATACGGCCCAAGTTGGGCTAACCCGAAAAAATCTTAAGAACTAATAGTGTATGCATTAAAAATCACTAATTCAAATATTGCATCCGTCATCCTAAACCTTATGTCACTAGACAATTTAGGAAATAAACAAACAATCATATTAAACAACTGTGAAATAAACAACGAGAAATTTGATCTCGTAATCACTCCACACAGACAGTCAACAGGAAATATTAAAAGCAAATGATAAACAATTAAACGAAAAATTTCAAGCAAACAAAGACAGATTACACGAAAAAGATTTTCAAAACAAAGAAACGCATTCTCCGAATCAGAAACAAGTCATTTACAAGAACTTTATGGATTAAAAGACTCAATAAATAAGAATTACCCAGTTAATGATACATTATATTTTTCTGACCCAGAAACCACATCACATTCATCAATACAAGGCAAACGAAGAATAAAAAACACATACAAGATTAAACCAGTACGACTATTCAATTAGAATTAACCAGTAAAACACATTGAAAGTTACAAAATGACAGTCATGCAGCACAAAAAAATGAGTCAAAATGAAGAAAGTGAAGATGAAAACTCCATCCTCCCAATAATAATCACTTCCCTAACTGATGATAGAAGACAAACAAAATTTTGTCAAAATTTAATAGCACTTTTATTTGAAAGAGGAGTTACTCCATACACAGCAGAATTTCCAGAAGTAAAAATCAAAGACAAATTGTCGACCAATCTCAAAGGAATATAAAACCTAACACAATAGTATGTAATCTATACCATAGAAATGCAGACCCCAAGTTAATTTCATGGTACGTATCTACTTCAAACAGACGACGTAGATATAGAATTTTCAAAGTTATTCACAATGAGCAAATTCATTATTTACTAATGAAGTGTTTCGAATAATTTATGTTTGAACTGGTGAAGTTCCTTGAGATTCTGGTTTTTCTAATATAGATAAAAAGCTATAAATTATTCGAAACACTTCATTAGTAAATAATGAAGTGTTTCGAATAATTTATAGCTATTTATCTATATTAGAAAAACCAGAATCTCAAGGAACTTCACCAGTTCAAACATCAAAACATACAACTGTAAGACATGAAATCACAAAATTTTCCGAATATTTAAAGACAATCCGTGAAAATTTAACCAGTAATGACGTTGCACAAAACGATAAACACGATTTACAAAAAATCTTAGCATGGTTTATCATAGATTATTTCACACATAACTTTGATTTAATATCACAAGCGAGGAAGAATTTCAGACCCCAAAATTCAACAGATGATACAGTTTTGGCAGAAGAATCAGATTATATTTGGGAATCTGAATGGTCTCATCCATTATTCCTTAGCATATCAACAGATATTTCAAGTCAAGCCATTGGCACAATTTCCATTAACAAAGATTTTGTTAAGGTATATTCACTCACAAATGATGCAACACCTTTAAACTACAATTCATTTCTACCCGATAGAACAGGAAATAATAGTTTAAATTCAACTGTCATACAACAAGAAAAACTAAATGGTACTAGGAACCTCACACAACAAGATATTCAAACATCATCACATTTCGCAATTGAAGAAGTAGTTACAACAGAAGTAACAACAACACAACAAAGTATCTCACCAATACATCCAAATCTTACAACTCCAAGACCAAAAAATCCAACCATACCACAGGTAACATTACAATCTACAGTTAAACCCACCATCGAACCAAGATACCCACATGTGAGCTACTAACCATTTAAACCTATGATCAAACCAATACAAAAACAAAGAACATTCACTGGAAATATTTTTGCAGAACACAATTATAACTCTGTATTTAGAACACAAACATCAAAATGTTTTCGCCCAAATACCTAAAATTATTTAATTTCTCAAAGACAACCTTTTCGACAACCAACAACAACCTCAGTCAATTCTCATGACTATCCACGCATTTCACCAGACCAAAGTGAAAATTATCCATTTTTTCAACAGAAAAAAAATAATGAACAAAACCAAGGTACACGCAAAATACCTTATTTTACATGTAAATATTTATCATCAGATGAAGATGACTATTATCAACCAGATATTTTTGCACCATAAACACAAAAATACCGTGTGAAATCACCACGACCAAATCAAGCATCCCAAAATACAAATTTTTACTCACAAAACCTA